CAGCAGTCTGTTCAGCAACTGTATCATCTTGCAAACTTTATGAACTACTTCCTTGTCTGACTTGGTGTAGCTCAACATATTCTCGTCGGTAGCCTAGTTACTGCTTGCCTTGCCAACTTTGACATAGAAGCTTCTGACTTTGCTTCTGTTTCTTCTCTCCTTTAGTTCCTTTCTGTTTTTTCTACCTTCATGCTCCCTTGTGCAACTCTGCTTATCTCCAACTTATGCCTAAGTTCAACTGATCTGATCAGGATTCATAAGCCCTAAAAAGATCTAAAGACCAATTTGCAAAAACTGACATGTCAGAACAGGCAACAAATGGTATTGTTGTCATCGAGTGATGACCTTATTTTGTTTTTTCAATAAAAGGATTGCAGATGGTATTGTTGTCTTTGGGATTAAAATATGAAAATTCAGAACACATGTTTTCAATCATACGATAGTGACATAAACAAGAGAGAGAAAAAAAGATCACACAAAAGTACACTTCAAGAAACCTTTATCTACTAGCCAACATTCATAACTCAATCACAACAGGTTGACCATTGAATTGGTAAGCCTAAATATTAGATGGAGAACATAGCAACAAAACAGATCATTCACAGTCAAATACCAACCACCCAAGTAAAAGACTAGTAAGCATTAGCTGAAACTGCATTAATAGGAATTATTTGGTACATCTACGTAGAAATAACAGAATCAGGAGTATGGACTATAAGAGAGAAAATTGATGTGCATTCCCAACTCAAATGCTGACACTGCAAGTTTGGACCATCAAATGAAACATACAGCATGGAACCACAAACTAATGTGTCTTCAATTTTCTCTAAATTACCATATTTGTTCAACTATTTCATCTTAACTAGTTGGATTTTCAAGCTTGCAACAGTAAGCATCTCCGAAATAGTTTCCTCTTCACAAGGAAAAAATAATCTAAAAGTAACCTAGATGTGTATAATTCCATAAAGCAAGAATGGAATTTATATTCTGTTTACTAAATCAGTAAAGTCAGGTTACTGGGAGGGCCTACTCTCACATTTCTGACCCCAAGCATTTATTTTTTCTTTGAAAGGGGCTCTACCATACTCCAAGAGCTATACCAGTGGCATTCGGGATCCATTCTACAACTTTTTTACTTACACTAGGATGACTGATCCTAATTCAGCTTCCTTCCCAGGAAGAGCAACTGAACCTGACTGATCCTAATTCAGCTTCCTTCCCAGGAAGAGCAACTGAACCTGAACCTTAGCCAAGTTCCAGGTAGTCGAACTACCTCAGTGAACCAGAGAAAGCATTTCCATTCAAAGCAATCCACCCAAGCCGAGGAATGCTAGCTAGTCTCCAGGGGCTGAATCTCTATAAATTTTGCAACTCTTTTATATGATCATCAAATTTCTCTACAAGGTAAATGGATTTGGAGGTTCATGAAGGAATCAAGGATTCTGTGGCGGACAGTTATTGATGCAAAATATGGTACAATGGATAGGGGCTGGTAGCTAGAGCGGTAAATAGATCGCATGGAACAAGGGTATGGAAGAAGTTTTGTACAAGAAGAGACAGCTTTCATAAATGTACCAAGTGGAGAGTTGGCAATGGAGAGAGAACCAATTTTTGAATGGATCCTTGGCTCGGTGAGGAAACGCCTAAAAATAGATTCCCACAAATCTTTGCAATTGGACGTTACAAGGATATATTAGTTAAGGAATCATTTAGAGAATTTGGGAGTGGAAGGGGGTAACACATGGAGGTTTAGAGGAATCTTTTTTTTTTTAAATAAAAAGTTGATAAGTATATATTCACAAGGCACCAAAAAGGAGGTTCAGAGAAATCTTAACGATTAGGAAATAAATAATCCTTGAATGGATCCTTGGTTTGGTGTGGAAATGCTTAA